ATAGATATAGATAGATGATAGTTGATAGACAGAGTGCTTTTAAAACAAGGATTTCATAGAAAGAGGGGGACTCAGGACCTCCTTCTAACTGCATAGGCATCACTGCTTCATAATCTCGTGTTTTTCTATGTACTTTACAAAATAACACAGACGTGAAAACATACAATGGAACATTTTATGAGTCATAAAAGCGACAGTGCAGTCTCATGAGAGGATGCAACTTACTATTTGAATTTAAGGAACCTATTTTGTCGATCTATCCATATATTTAAAAATAGAATTCAAACATTAAGATAAGTATCTTACACCATGTATTTCCTCCATAACTATTAATACCCTTAGATTTTAGAATAAAGGCACTATACATATGAAATATACATACAAAAATGAACTGTAACTATTCTTAATCAATTTAAATGAGTATTAGTCAGTTGATTAACTTTCTGTCCCTTTTCTTCTTCTTGCCATGACCTTCACTTAATTTTTCTTCCATTTTCCTAATGTTTTCATGTCTTAAGCTCCAACTTTGTTGACTCATATATTGTACACATACGCATTTCACATAGACAGCATCACCATGAGCTCACAGGACCACAAGCTTAGTCTTCTTCCATGCCAGCATTTCACACTGCACCACCTTTCCCATGCTGCAGTTGAAAGAAGTGGAATAGTAAGCGGAGTTGGGCAGACCTAAAGGCCTTTCTTGGTTGTGTTTTGTGTATTTATTCGAACCTGGAAAGAAATGAGATAGAAGTGAGCCTAGAATCTTCTGGGGCGAATATAATAGCTTATGCTGCAATCTCAACGTGGGCGGCTTAGGCAGGAGGATTGCTGCCAGTTCAAAGCCAGCCTGGGCTACCTAGGCTCCAGGCCTGCCTACAGGAGATTAGATAGATAGATAGATAGATAGATAGATAGATAGATAGATAGATAGATAGATAGATAGATAGATGATAGGTAGGTAGATGGACAGAAGATAGATAGATATAGATATATATAGATATATAAAATGTTTCAAGATACAATGTTTCAGTTGTACAGTAGAAATAAATATTATATGAGGTGAATATTTTAATTAGCTGAGTCAGTCATTTGACATTCATATATATACATATGTATAGTAGCATCATTTGTGCCTCATAAATATGTGCCATTATAGCTTCTCATTGTCCAATACAATATTTTTTTGGTCTTTTTTGAGACAGGGTCTCCTGGTAGCCCCAGCTGTCCTGGAACTCACTATGTAGACCATGCTGGCCTTGAACTCAGAGAGATCAGCCTGCCTCTGCCTACCGAGTGGTAGGATTAAAGGCGTGCACCACCACGCCCGGCCCAATACAATTTTTAAGACTATAATTTTTTTTTTTTTTTTTATCTTTTTGAGACAGGGTGTCCCTGTAGCTCCAGTTGCCTGGAACTTACTTTGTAGACCAGGATGACCTCGAACTCACAGAGGATCCACCTGCCTCTGCCTCCCCAGTGCTGGGAATAAAGGCATGCGCCACCACTCCGGGCTAAGACTATAATTTTTAAGACTATAGTTTGCAACCAGAGAAAGAAAAGGTCTCCTCAATTGTTTTCGATCAGTTGAAGATTCAATCCAGTATCTGGGGCTAGTCTCCTTTAACTCCCTGGGACCCCACCCTAAAAAAAAAGCTGTCCCTGAAGTTTTCAATATGGAAGATATGGTCTTAGGTAAGGGAAGAACTGCTAGAACTAGGGCATTTTTCATGAAACTGGATGCTGTATTCCAATCCTGTGCCCCTGTGCACACAGAATCTCTGCCCTGGACTGTAATCACCTGCGACATCTGCAAATGCATAGGGGGCGAGGGGAGGAGGAAGAGCGGATTCCCTTACCTTGTAGGGTCCTGTGGCATCCCTCTCTGAGTTCATTCTATCATCCTGAAGAGGGGGACTGCTTGCCATACTCTGAGGCTCACATCTCATGTCTCTTAGAGTTGTTTCCATACTATGACCGTGCTGCATATAAAACTCAGGTTTTTTTTAATTACTTTTTATAAAACAACACAACATATTAGAAGTCTAAGTGGTTACAGCTACATAAATGGAGACTAAAATTAAGATATGGTATTTGGGAAGCCAAACAACGCTGCAGAACAAATGGAACTGTTTTTTAAAAATACAGCTGTCTGCCCACTTAGTACAAGCTGCTTTGCCAAGGCGCAAGATTTTTTTTTTCCTAAATACAAACGGATAAGTTATCTAAAACTGAATATTGTCACCAAGGAGACCTCAGGGGCTCAGTAAGTAGCTGGAAGGTTGACTGAAGCAGAGAAATGGCATCCTGACCCCTTAGGTTGCCGGAGATTGCAGTGTGTAGACTCCCCACAGTCTCAGTGGGGAAAACCGACCAAAGATGTGGAAATACTTTGAAAGCCCTCAGAGGAGGTCTCTCCGGCTGACAAAAGTGAGTAGTCGGGAACTGACTTTTGTCCCTGCTTCATCCTCGGAAACTGAAAGAACCCTCGCCGAGCTGGGGCAGACACGCAGCGCAGTGCGCACTGCGGCCGGGGAATGTGGCTCGGCGCTGGGCTGCCGCAGCGCGCCTGGTCCGCTAGGCTCCGCGCTCCGGGTTTGCACTGTCACCGGCACCTGGCGGAAGAGCCCTGCGGGGAGGGGCAGGCCGCCCACGGGGTCCCGGGAGTCCCGGGAGCTCGCCCTCTGTCTGCGGAGCCTTCCCGAGGCTGGCCTGGAAAGCGCGTTCCTGAGCTCTGGGCCCACCGGATGGCTTGGAACTTGGGGCGCTCAACTAAGCGAAACGTCTCTAGGTCGGGCTTAGTAGCCTCAAATGAGCTGGAAGCTGGTCGCCCCCATCTGGAGCCAGTTGCCTCAGTGCAGCAGAGAATGCAAGTCGGTGTACAGCGGGTTTGGGCCACAAGAGGCGCTCTCGGTGTCCGCAGTACCAAAAGGTCCAGGGCAGTTTTCCTGAACACGACTCGGGGGTGTGTAAAGAGCCTGGGCAAATTGTAGAGCTCTCTGCTAAGGACAGCATTGTTTACATAGGGTCCCCAGGACTTCCTTCCCCTGAAAATAAAGCCCCCAAACACCCCATGAAACCCCAGAGGGATTTTTGAGAACGCCAACAATACCGGAAGCATAGGGCAGTGCCTGTTGGTGGGTGGTGACATGAATAACCCGTGACTCAACTGAGTGAATGGGGAAAAACCATCAGTTGGGAAGGACCATCTGAGAATCTCCTGGCTCTCCCAAGTAGGGAAGCCACCAGCATTTTATTGGACACCCATCTTTGCCAAGTTTTCTAGGCTTAGGCACGGCTGGAAAACACAGCAGTTCAAGGACACCAACGGGGGCTTTATCGCGAAGGCCAACATTGAACCTTCAGCTCTGGATCTAAAGGACTATAACTACTTTCCCTCTACTCCTTCCCCTGCGAATGCAAAGCATATCTGATACATATTTATTTATTGTAGGCGGAAGACACTTATTCAGCATTCGTTGATGGTCACCAAGGTTCAGAGGACTAGAAACCTCGGGTCCAGCTCCCTACAATGCACATTGCTCCTACATCGCCCTGGACCCATCCAGCAGAGAAGCACTGGCTCCCATTCTCCTAGCGTTACTCCCTGGGTGAAATGGCCCAAGGCAAAATAAAAATAGCAGCTATTTGTTCTGTCAGTGATTCAGGGAGAGATGCCCAGGGCCTCTCCGAAGCTTTCTCCCGAGGTTTCTGCAGCTCTCTCCTTCACCTTACAGTCTGACACCGGCTAGCCAAGGCGGGTCTAGGACAGAGCGGCGGGAAAAGCATCTCCACGTGTTCTGCCACCTCTAGCCCGGGCCTTCAGCCACCTGGTTCCGGAACCTCGGTGTTCACCATCGTCTGCCCTCCCTCGCGCCTGTCCAGGTGCGGGAGGCCAAAGCTAGGACTTCTTTTCCCAATCTCCTTTCCAGTGTTTGCAAAAATCTGGAGCCTCGGAATCCACCCGCGGAAACTCCGAGCTCTCCATCTGAGCATGCGCCATCGCCAAGCTGCTTTTGGTCCCAGCTCTCCCGCCTGGGCTGCAGAGCTGCGGGAGGGGGAAAAAGAGGAACGGGAGGCGGGGGAGCCTGCGAGGCGGAGGCTCGTGCGCCTGCGCATCCAGCTTCAGGGACCCTAGGTTTTCTATGGGATTCCCAATCTGCAGCAGAGATTCACCCGAGCGTGTTGCCGCGGCGGCTGGGCTTGCAAGGCGCGATCCAAGCGAGATTTAAGCAGCCGGAGCTCCTAGAAAAAGAGAGCGAGAGAGAACCACTCACAGACGGTTTAACTGTTTGCCCGAATTAAATATATATACATATATATATTCTTAAAAGAACTGTTGAGTTTTATCATTTTCGTTAAGTGACCGTGCGCAGCGCTATAACTGTAAGTGGAAAATACAATCTTTGTTGCATTTCTTTTGCATGTGTAGTTCAGCAGATTGTCAGGAAAATGCTTCGGCTATTGTCACATATTTTGCTTTGCATAGATGCGTCTGAATGCATGGTGACCACTGCCTTGGTTCATGCTTGGAATGTGCTGCTGGTTCATGGGGGACCTTTTGGGATAATGGGTGGAGGAAGGAGGAGTGTTTATGTGCGGCGTGTTCGGGGACTGTCAGCTAGATTTATTAAGATAGGTGAAACTGGAGTGTTTTTTTTTTTTTAAGTTTAAGACTATAAATAGGTGGATTTCCTTAGACAGATTTAAGTAGCTAATTAACAGATCGTGAACTTTCCCGTTTGCTGATAAAACTATTGAGCAGTCAAGTAGTAACCTGTCAGGCGTGGGGTTAGTGCACCATTTTTTTCACCGTGGAGGAGCACAAAGGTGTTTGCTAAGTAAAACTGAGCAAACGAGATTGGTGTGGGCATCATGGTTGCTAAGCGGGATGTTGGTGTTTAAAACCCAAGGAGTTAGGCGCACCGTAAGTGTATTTCTTAGCACTTAGGCATGATAATTTTTTGGTTTTGATTTTTGTCATAATGGTGAATGGTTAAGAAAGGGAAAGCTTTTGGACCGCACAGTAGATTTTGAACTGAGCCAAAAGAGACTGAATGGGCACCCTCAGACCCTAACTAGTTACCTGCCTCTGCATTCCGCATTCGCCTTCCGGAATGCAGAGATGAGAATCTGCAGCCCCAGGCGTGTTACATTTGGTAGTGTTGCTTTAAAGGGGAAAAGGTCGTCTTGTGTTTAGAGTTAAAATGGGTTGTTTCTTGCCCGGCAAGTGGAAGAAGGGTCTTTGCAAGGTCAAACTCTGTGCGTGGAAAACAGATACTGAAGAACGCCCTCCAGGGTCTGGGAATGTTATGGGGAGAGGGCAAAGAGGCGGGGATACTCTTGACAGACAAGAAGAGAGGAAAAGCTCAGCTCTGCCGGATCGGTGCCCTGTGAGATACCAGAGTGGGAATCCATTTTTCTGGAGTTGCCCTCCTGTCTATATTTTGGAGATGAAAATGAGCTGGAAATGCTGGTGGGTGTGGAAAATACAAAGTGTACACTGTCTGTGTGCAACTTCCCGTTTGAACGCAAGAGAAGTCATGGAGTTTTATTTCTACATAATTTTTTTTTCTTAATTTAAAAGAATTTCAGGCTGAGACAAATTAACAATGAACTTGTACAAACACATTTTACCTCAACTGTCATTTAAACTGCCTCCATTTATGGGAAGGGGTTCCTGCATCACTGCAGACCTTGCTCATGAGTGCAGTCTCATCGAGCCTTGAGAGCTCAATAACCCTAGAAAATGCTGCATTGAAGCAGACTGGCAGGATGGCACCAGGCAGGCACAAGACCAGCAGGGCCCGTGAGTACTGGCTTCCCACCGAAAAGTGGATCCAACCTCTGGGATGGAATGGAATAACATTTCCTTTGATGATGGAGGAATAATTTAGTCATCTTTTGGCCTTTTGGTTGGTCCAGCTATTTCCAGTCCCTCGAAGGAATGTGTAATTTGTTTAAATGAATAAAATCTAGGATCAAAATGGAAATCCGAAGTATACGTCATACTGACTTCTCTGCTCCTTCCTCACTTACTCCAGAGCAGAAAGACCAATCATTTGTCACATTTGAGCCATACTCCTTGCCAACATTGAGAGCTGGCATCAGTTCAATGAATGGTGTATGTGAAGCTCTGCATTGATAAATGGATGGTGGAAGAAAGGGATGGAGGGGGATCAGGTATTAGAGCTCATTGATGCTGGGTCTGATTCCCTGACTCCTAAGTTGACAGTTACAGAGGATCAAATCTGGCAGAGACCTATGCAGCATCTAGTCATAGGAGGAAACCGAGGCCCAGAGCCATGCAGCTAGAGAAAATCAATTAACTTCCAGTGTATGAAACAACCAAAAAGTAATGTTGAGTGCAAATATTCCGTTCTCTGCAGCGTTCAGCATTCTCAGCAACACTGCTGCAGTCTTCAGGTAAATGCCTGCTCCTCTGGCATACTGTGAGATGTTGTAGGGGAAGGGGAAGGGGGCCTTTTTACATCCTTTTTCTTCTTTCCTCCATTTTTCTTGTTCTCTCTCTCTCTCTCTCTCTCTCTCTCTTTCTCTTTCCCCTCACCTCTAATCAACCCACCTCACTGGATTTCTAGTCCGCTCTCCCTGGTGGCCTCTGCATCTCAGTCAATTTATTTGGAATTTATTTGGGATGCTTGACTTTCAGAGGAGCACTGGAAAACCAGGGGCAGGGGTAGCTCCTGCATGAGACCAGCTTGAGGCTGATGTCCGTCTCTCCAGGCTTTATTCCCAGAATCCTCAGAGGCTCCAGACTTAAGAGCTACTGCAGGTGTCATCTCCAGCCCTCCGCCAGTCTAGCCTCTTCCCAAACTGCTGCAGGTGCAGGGAGACTTAGTGGAGCAAAGAAGCTGCAGGGTAAACACACAGTGGGCTCTGCCAGCTCCCCTGACTCCTCAAAGGCAAAAGCCAAGTCAGAGATGTGGGAGTCTGGCAGAGTGAAATCCTGCAGTGAGGAGGCATGGAGAAGCAGAAAGACTGAATGGGAGAATGCTTGATGGGGCCAACCTGAAATGTGGTGGAGTAGAGGAGAGTAGTAAGGCTTCTTAACCCCTTCAGAGTTTGTATGCACACACACAGCTTTTCTTATAGGCCATACTTTTCCTCTTGCTCAGCTTTCTTCTAACCTAATTGCCTCCTCTTCATCCCCTATTTGTCTCTTCGTTTTTTAAAGATTTATTTTTATTACTTTTAATTGTATGTATATATGTATGTATATCTCCATGTGAGTATGTGCACATGAATGCAGTGCCTATGGAGACCAGAGGTCTTGGATCCCATTGGAGCTGGAATTAGAGTTAGAGGCAGTTGGGAGGTGCCCGATGTGAATGTGAGGAACTGAACCCTGGTCTTCTGAGAAAGCAGTACTTGCTTGTAACCACTGAGCCATCTCTTTGTCCCCTTTCACATTTTTTTCTCCGTGTCTCCCTCATCTTCTCTTTTTATAAAATTTTCCAGAGTGCCTACACAGTACAGTTTCATGCCTATTAAAGATAATCTGGGCCCTCCTGTTCCTTCTCCAAAAATATAATCTAGCAGACACTCAGAAAGACAACTACAACCAGCACAAATGTCCCCTGTAGTGAATGCCATCAATGCTCAGCCCCCAAATGATGAAGCAGAGGTGTGGAGGTGTGCCAGGTGGAGGCAGGCCAGAGGAGGGCCTAGTTGGCAACTTTCTCATTCACAAAAGAAGCTAAACAGTCCTGGAGGTTGTTGAAGCTGAGGAAGCAAGGTGGTGACTTTCTCAGCATAGTCACCAATTAACAATGTAATATAACCAGTCCCTCCCTGGTAAATCTTTCCCAGACAGGGTTGTACTGTCTTGGATATGTTCTGTTCCTTTAAAAAATGCACCTGGTTAATTAGATAATATCTGGTCTTAATATTTCACACCAGGCTGTTCTGAACACAGTAGCCTCTGTGGATACCCAGAGACTTACAGTTGCTAAAGGCCCTGCTTTGACTGAACCACATTCTATATTCTATGTGTATTCACGAACCACATTCTATAATGGATAATATGATCAGGAATGTATAGACTGCCTGTGTAGGAGCTTCTGTATAGAATAGCATGGTTAGGAGGATTGTGCTCGGTAAGCTTCAGGTTCCTTATAGTTGGGTTGCATACAGATATGGATTCTGAATATTTTAGAGGAGCTGCTCAAGGAGTTTCACAGAGTGCAGACTATCAGTACCAAACATGATTTCTGATTGCTAAGGAAAATATATATAAATGTCATTCCAAAAGATTATCTTTATACCAAGTGATTTCTATGCACCTCAAATTTGTGATCATCTAAGGATGTAAGATGATTGCCTTTATAGAAGGGGATCACATTGACAGGGGCTGAGGAGATAGTTCAGTTGGTAAAGTGCTTTCCATGCAAGCATGAGGACCTGAGTTTAATCCCCAGAACCCAAATATAAATCAGGGTATGACAGTACATGCTTATAATCCCAGCACTGGGGTGGCAGAGACAGGCAGATTCTTGGGACTCACTGGCCAACTATCCTGGCCTAATCAGGGAGTTCCAGGTCATAGTGAGTGATACTGTCTCAAAAAAACAACAACAACAACCAAAAAAAAAAAAAAGGTAAACTCCTGAAGAAAGATACCTGAGGTTGATTTATGGCATCCTCACCCATAAGCACACACAGATTCATTCGTACACGCACACGCATGCACCCACAAACTTACACACAAAGAATGGATCACATTCAACTAATTCAAAGTTGAAATAAACATTCTTATCTCAGTAGTAGACATAAATATTAATTTTCCTAAAATATCTTAAGGTACGTAGATAAAGAATGATTGCTATTTCTATCTCCCAGTGGTTAAATTGCATAATTAATACAATATATGGACTTAATAGTATCTATGTAAGTTATCTAGTCCATCTTCCTAACTCATAAAAAATATAGACAGTGTTTAAGGGAAACTATGACCTTGAAGACATTATGTGCATTATAAAATTGCAGATTTCAATGAGCCTTTTAGTGTTTCCACAATATCTGCATATCTTTCATAATAGAAATTCCAATAGTTTTCAACTAAATACTTGCATGTAGCTTTCAATTATAATAAGTAAATCATATTTTCTAAGATACTATGTAATTAACTTGATTTTGAATATCTTTTTGGGAGCTGGGGAGCTCAGTCAGTAAATAAACTGCCTGCCACACAAGCATGAGGGCCTGAGTTTAGATCCTTGGCACCCACATAAAAGCCAGTTACAATGGTGCACATCTGTAACATTAGCACTGGTAGGGGAGGAAACAGACAGATCTCTGGAAGTGGCTGGCCAGCCAACCTAGTCAATCAATGGATTCTAGGCTCAGTGAGAGACCCTGTCTCAAAA